AAAATGCACTTTATTTTCCACCTGTACTGCAATTATCATACTTTTAAATCGATTAGTTTATCATTAGTACAAAAATTTGTATTTATATGTCGTTTTTATTCCGACTTTATTTAATATGACATTTTCATAATCAATATATTCGTATAAATTCATAATATTATTATTCATATAATATTCATGTATTATAATATATGATCATTTAAATTGTTTACTTCATTATAGACATCACTACTTATATAATTGTTGTTCACTTTTATGTTTTGTTGTGAAGCGTCTAATTATATTACAAAACATATTTATATTTTAAATTAAAATATTAATTGTATATTTAATTAAAAGTAAAAATGATTTTTGAAACCATATGTGAGGACTTAATATTGTGAACGAATATTAAAAGGAAATCTACTGACAATTATATTGGCGTCCACTTCACAAAAGGTATTCTCAATGCCATTATTATGTGAATTCTTGATAAATAATGCAATTATTATACAAATAATTGTATTTCTAATTTGATTTTTGTTAAATAAAATGTGAATAATTATTATTTAACTCCAAATTCCTAAACGCCGTACAACTAGTCAAACATACGGTTCATTACTTATTGCTATTATTAATTAAATGTAAGTTTTAATGGAAATATTTCTTATTAATAATTGTGGTTATTTTGTCAACCATTTAAATGTTAATTCTCTGATTGAAATCTATGAAATCGATCATAGTAAAACATCTCAATTTATTACTTTAGCAATAGTAGTAATGTATAAGATATTGGGAGAAAAATTTTAAATACTAAACCAATATATCTGTTGATCGATTCAAAGATTGCATTCAAACATATTTTAATAAAAGGCATATATTTTTTGTGTGTGAAAAAGTTTAAAACATAAAATATTTATTAACTACTCATCTGTTTATTATATTTTGCGAATAACATTAACTGATAGACACTTTTTCACTAGAAGTTACTATGCATTCAATATTGAGAGGAAATGTGTGTGAATTATAATTGCCTATCGTTTCTGTATTAACAAACTTTTTCAAACAAACAGATCATTGAAATTTGTAAATCAGTAAAAAATTATTGACACTAACAATAATTGTAAATATTAGATTAGAGACCAAATTGAATCAACATTTGTTTTATAAATATACAGTGAGTGGAGGCGTCAACTTTGCAATGTATTTAATAAATTAAGTGTAAATTAATTAAGTTTTAATATAACAAAATATATAACTAATAAAATTAAAGCATTGAAAGTGTGTGTAGTTTTCAATTTGTGAATTTAATTGAAAACTGACCCAAATTGCAGTCAATCGTCGCTCTCTTATTCGCAGGTAATTATAATTAGTTTTTTAATTTACTTTTTCTCATATGTTTGGCGTTAAACGCGTTGTCACTAAACATACGCTAACTTTTTTTAAATAATAAAATATTTAATTTTAATTTACTTTTGTGATTAAATACAAGTTTAAAAAATATCTGATTTGATTATTCATATAATCAACAGTGACTTATGTTATCATCAATTAAACGCATCTCCTGTAATAAATTTGTTAGAAAAATGCTGTAAAGTGAGTGAAATATATAATTAAAATTGAATATTTTTGGTGATTTAATTAAACATAATATTAATTACGATTTTGTCATTTTTAAATTAATATACAGTAGTGTCTGTTGATTGAAACAACAGTTAATGTAAGATACTCCAATAATAACTCATGCTAATTGTTAAAATCATTTTACATAATAGACTTAATTTATCTAGCTTAGAAATTGTTGTTTATTGCTTCTGATATAATATTAATTCTTTTAATTGGACTTAACATGTAGTAATAATTATTTTTAAATAAAAATAACATTGCAATTTTATATCAATTAATTAGTTAACTGTGTATTGTATACTATATTGTAAAAGTTTTTATGTTTGTATGTGTGAAGTGCCACAAACATAAATCATTAGTATATTTATCATTGATTTAATCACACATTCAGTGTTTTTGCAAACTAAATATCAATTTGCAGTCATATCGTGGGTGTCGTCACAAAAATTGTGATAACAATACAGTAATTGTAATATATTTAATATATTTGTATTTGAATTTTCATATCTCTATTCCCATTGTATTCCTATTGCCAATAGATTTATTGCCGAGTGTTTGTCGCTATTTCATCAAATCGTTAATAATGTCGACTCAAATGGCGGCCAAATCTGTGGCAACCGCTGAAAAGTCTGATCAAAATGGACTGAAAAGTGGTGTCGAAGTGAAGTTTGTGACCATCGCTGGCAAACAAGTAGAGATCACTTACGAGACCCGTCGTAGACGAGTCGACATCTTTGGTCTCCACTCAAGAGATAGGGAGAGAAAGTCAACGAATAATCACTATTTGAGTAAAATGTTTAAATCTAACAAAAGTAATGATCGAAACCTAATGAATGGCAAACAGAGTAAAGACACGATTAAGACAAACGATTTGCCCAAAGAGTCTATCAGTAATGGCGTGAATGACAAGACATTACAACGTCTGGAGTCGAGCGAAAAGTTTGCCAAAAAGTCCGATCTCTCGGTCGAGAAGATTGCGAATAGGATTAAGAAGGAGAAGGAACCGGTGAAGACTGGGAACCGCTTCGACACACTCTTGT